CAAGTTCTATAAAGCCCCACCTAGAACAAGAGGCTTTAGAAACTCCATGAAAAAAACTATAGTTTCTTCTATTCGTGCAAGTGATTTGAACCACTCAGATTCACCAGTAATGAAAAGACAATTTGGTGAATCTGTGCAAGAACCGTGTTTGAGATGACAAATTTGCTGGTTTTGCATGCTGACCATGCTATTTTTAGAGTAAGGCTGGTCTTTGACTCCTCACTGAAAAAGGGTGGAGGGGTCTAAAGAAACAGAGAAGTAGTGCCTGTGTAAGGAAAGAATCTGCTGCTTTGCCTCCTGCCTGTCCTCTGAACTTCCTGCAGGGATTGCCAGTCTGAGCTGTGAGAACCTGTCCATGAAGGACTCGTCTTTCCCAGGCTTTGATCCTATTTACCAAGCATTCCCTTTACAAACAGGTCTTTTGTGGTCCGCTTTTCCAGCTATTTTGCCTTAAAAGAAATGTTCTTTTCATATGTAAGCAAGTCAAACTTGCCTCATCCAATGAAGCACAATGCAGAGATCTCCTTTGATATGTTATTAACCTCTACTGGCAACACTGCCAGTAGGTAGGAGACAGCTTTAAGTCAAGCGGAGTCTCTACACTCGCCTTAACTCTGCTTTCAAGTACCACTTTGAAACTTAACGAGACATGATCAAAACAGGTCTCCAACTCCTTTGCCCTCACACCTCTAATATCTATCCCTGGGCACAGCCTTAGTTTTGTAAAATCTTGAGAAGGCCAGCTCAATGTAAAGATGATTTGTTGTTAAGTTAAAGACAATCAGAAGCAAAGTAGCACTTCTAACCGTTCGTGCTGCTCTGTCCCAACATTTCTCAGCATACAGAGTGAGGTTGAGCGGGAGGAAGAGAGCAAGCGGTGGTCTACCAGGAGCAAAGTACCTTGGCTGTTTGAAGCTACTGCAAGCTCTTGGCAGACAGCAAAAAAGGCTCAGAAGACTCAGGCCTTCTGGGGAAAAGGGTGAGACTGGAAGGAAAAAGGCTATTACACCAGGAGAAGGAGAAGGGAGGGGAGGGAAGTGCAGTTGGGAGAGGCACAGCTGATAGGTGACCTGTCAGTCTGAAAGTGACTCCAAATCACTCAGCAGAGAAGCAGGGCCCAGCATCCAGGGAAACTGGTTGCACATGTAGTTGATGAGATGGGCAGTAATTCTTAAAACTGCAAGGGATGTGTATACCTGCACAGGGAGAGTACGCATGCAGAAGATACATTTGGGAGCAAAAGTCTCGAGTGAAATACAGTCCAAGGGTATTTACTTTTTTTTTTTTTTTTTTTTTGCTTCCTTACACCATATAAACTTCTTGGTCATTCAAAATTCATATATAGTAGCAGTGAAGAACTAGGAAAAGCCAACCAAAACTAACGCATTCTTCCACATCCAACGGGCAAATACTTGTGGGCAATTTTCTGAAATTAGTAGATGACACCTTTTGCACATTCACAAACAGCAACAACGTATTACACGGCAACATTTTCAAAGTAAGTGAGATTTAAAGCATCTTTCACCCCTCAAATGGGGTTTGCACAGCAATACTGTATTGCACCCAGTTTCTCCTACAATATGTAGCACAAAATTGCCCAAACTGAGATAACAAATAACAAAGAATGGAATTTGCACTGGCATGCATGAACTACCTCTGATAGCACATTTCTACTTGTTTCTACCTTGCAAGAAAGGCAACAGGATATTGCAATTTTGTACTTATTTGGGTCAGCTAGTCGTCAAAACTTGCCGTGTTCACTAACACTGTTACTCCCAGTTGAAATCTTTATTAAAAATACCATTAACTTTTTCTAAAAACAATGCTGCAGATATTTAAAAAGGGACTACTACCCTGACCAGCTAGTGTTATCTGAATGGCACATTCATCTGTTTCAGGACTATTCTCCCTATGCATTGACAAGGACTTCTAAATAAATAGGTATTTGTACGATAAACAGGTCTAAGACGATTCTCATCATTGTTTTAAATCTCCAGGTATTAGAGATCTAGACAGTTTAATGTCATCACCTGCTATCAGACACCCGACACGGATGTGGTGTTTGTATTTAGTTAATCCTAGAGTTTTTAGGGCCTGTTCCAGTTCCTTTTATATTTAGGCAAGCACCCACATTTTTGTCGGGGCATAGTAATCAAGATTAGTGGGCTAGAGAATAATAACATGCAAAGGCAATGCTCACCCAGACCTGCTTTGTTCTGCATGACTGACCTTAATACCCTCTACATCCACAGCCCTAGACTGTGCAAGTCAGGAAGACGTCAGAGCAGCAGGTCACTCGGCTTTGTTTCAGTCAGACAGCAGCAGAAATTGATACTGCATGAACAGCTTGCAGCAAAGTTATCTAAATGCTTAGAGAAGAAATTCATTAAAGATTATCTTTAACATACTTGAAAAATAAATTTGTACCTTTATCTACATGGTACAGGGAGGACAATTTTCTACATATTAGCATAATAATCACCAGAGGAGTACCTCCTTGCCTATATTGCTTGTTTATATCACTTCAATATCTTGTAATCTTGAGAATGCACATTTTTAGCTTTATTTTTATGTCCTATATGTTTTCCTTTATACCTTACATATTCAAAATCTAGTCATTATTTCTTTTTCATGCTCAAAACATATCAGAGTTCTACCACTGCAAATTGCAGCTACTAGCACACATAGCAGAAGCAGCACCAGCTAACACCTCATCCACTGAACTGTCAGTCATCTCTCAACGGCTACGTTACAGGCCTTTGGCCTAACCTAAGCAAAAAGGTTGGGCAGGCATCTCTGAGTTAAAATGAAAGCACCTAGTAAGAGCGTGTCTTTACAGAGCAGAATGCCTATCCATGCAAGTAAAGAAAAAAAAAATACCACCTTTCTTCAATAGTGGAAAGGATTTATTTTGGCTATAAAAAGCCTGAACTAGGATCTTCATTTTTCTCCCTTTTCTCTTCATAAATATAAAGCCCAATCTTGGGCCAATATAAACACTATAGAAAGTTAATATTACTTAACCCCTATTTTACTCTTTAAGTACTTACAGATGGCCAATTATTTAAGATGGATGTAAGTGCTTCACATTTAAACGTAATTTTTACACACTGACATCGTTGTACAAACTGTCAAAGAAAAAACTAAAAAAAAAAAAATCACAAAAATCGCTGATATATTACAGTAAGAGGGCTTTTAGGCATATGAATACATAATTAACCGGCAAATAAATAATTCTGCAGTGTTTTTCCACTTGAACAATTCTCACTTTCCCTGTAAGGCTTCTTCAGGTCAAGTCATGCTATACGATGTTCTTCTAAACTGGAAAAAAAAAAAAGCAGCCTGTCCTTTGAACAGCCTTATTTCTGTTTGGTTCACTTTCTAGGATACTCTTCTTGCTTGACAGGATTTAAAATCCTCTCAAACAGTTTCAGATGTTCTCGTAACTCCTCCACTAGAAGGGAGCTCAAGTAGCAGGTTCAGGAGCTCTGCACTCTGAAACCACTCGGAAGAAGGATAACAGACTGCAGAGAAGTCTAAGACTAAGTCATTCAAATCTATTGTTTCCATGTCTAAATTTCATTGACCCATCTGCCCTAATCATATCTCACTCTCTTCTATTTGTTGCAAACACACGGAGGCAGCCACCATAAAATATCATCAAATGTCTTTAGCACAGCTCTGCTTCTCCAACATAAGATATCACCTTGACTTCAGCATCCTGGTGAAGAAGTTGCAAAGAACTACCTTGACAGAGCTATTTAAAACAATGTTGCTTTCAGAAAGGACAGTGTCCATTTACAAATCTCGGCAAAATTAAGGTAAAACTAGTTTCAGATTTGTGCCCTAAATCTGCTGCCAAATTCATTTTGGAAATACATGTACTACAATTTTATAGAAGTCAGGCATCTGATTAACAACAAGTAGAACTAATGCCTCTCAATAGTACTGCACCTGCAATTCTCAGAACTGGAACTTCAATTACATTTTCATTGTGAATTGAACTAGAACAAAACTGATGCACATGAAATACATGTGTAGTTGACACCTTCACCTGCACAGCCTGAGGAGAGATCAACCCTCCCAAACCCACAGAGCTTTGCAATACAGATGAGACACCTAAGCACTTACTTCAATAAATAATAGGGTTGGACATAGGGCTATAAACACCACATAAAGCTCTCCCTTTGATCTTTATAAAATATTTAATGAAATCTCCCAAAAGTGAGTGACAAAAATACTACAAAACTGAACTTCAAAGATAGCCATTTTCTCCAATTATCAAAAAAAACTAACTTACCTTTCCCTTTGAGCTAAACTTAGCTACTTCTATGCAGGATGAGTTGCTCTACTGTGTGTTCACTGTCCCATTACCTTGTTACTTTAATTGCTGAGCTAAATTTAGCAAATTTCACACATTCTTGAAGAAGAGAGGAAGAAAATGGCAGGGACTTAGCAACAGATGTATTACAAAATTTGCTCTGTATTTGCAGCTTGCTTTCCCTCAGCTAAGTCAATGATAAACGCTTTCAAAGTTTTCTTCAAATTTTTGTATTTAATAATTTTCAAAAATAATAACCACTCTAGTAATACTTTGCATTCCACTGTATAGAAATTTTGTAGGAAATAATGTCCAAAGAGATCTGTCTTCACTGTAATATTAATTTAATAACTAACGCGCATTATTCATATTTATATGCAAATACATGTGATATTAGTCTGACATGCAGACAACTGAGAGGCAGCTGCTTAGAAAGACGCATTCATGCATCTTAAGTCACTCTGACCCACTAGCGTTAGAAGATTTGTTGATCCGCTATGTTTTCCTCCAGGTGAAGACGGGGAACATTTAAATGGTTCATTCTCCTGCATGTTAAACTGGTCAGTGTTTTGGCCATCTCTCTCTTTCAGATTTAGTTGCATAGGAGAAAACCCTTCCTGTGCAGCCTGCTGTTTTTAACACATGTAAAAGCAAACAAACACAGTTGTTTTTCTGTTCTTCAGGGACTCTTCTTCTTGCTTTTCTGTTCTTCCTTTAGCTCTTTTGCATTACACCTGGACCCCAATGCTGTTAACATTTCTATTGTCGTCAAGTTGGCTCCCTTCATTATCAATCGCTCTCCATCAGCTGTAAAGGGAAAAAAATTTAAGAAGTCACAAAGTCTAAGTCACAATTACTTTAGTGTGCTGTTCTGTTTTCTATATATAAATCCAAATACCCTGTTCATCTTGTCTGATTAGAAAGTACTCCATTTACCAAGGAATCTGATTATGCACCACCAACAAACAAAGATATTAAACTGCACACAATACACATGTAATTTTCATTTCTGTATTGCATTATTGACAAATCTGAAACATTTGTCTAGATATACCTATAGTAAGAACACATATTTGATGAGAATGGCTCCTGCTATGCCCTCAAAGTCATCTAACAGAAGGCACTGTAAGGCATAATTTCCACACATGGTTCAGCATTTTAGCAGCATGTTGTCTATGGTCCGTTTAACTTACTTCTTAAGCCAAAACAATGAATAGGTTTACACAATCTGGTGGTTATAATGTAAAAAAATACACGGCACTAGGATTTCTAAAATTCTGAAAGAAATTATTTTAAAACAGAGAGGAGGCAGTAGAAGTTAAGTATTGTACCTAAGTTAATTATTTATTTTTGCAAGATTTGCAAATACAAAAGCCATATTCAAACCCATATAATGCAATACCATGCATAGCATCCAAGTTCCAGCCCCATGTTTGCCAACTGCAAGGGCTGCAAACTCTTCACTTGGAAAATAATCAGCTCTTAGAAAATGAAGAGTTCAGAGCTGTAGCTCTTGGCATTAGTGAAGTAAATTGTTTTGGTTTTACGCTGTGAAAAACATTAAGCTTTACTGCTTAAGTCTTAATACATCACAGTTAGAGACAAGGATGGGAAAGACAGAGGCATGGGGGAGGGAGAAACAAGCAATGTCAACACTGAAATAACTAGACTTTCCTAAGCAAAATGAAGTACATTCAACACTCTTGACATTTCTACCGATTCACTAGATATATGGAAGTTTAAAGAAAAGGGAGTAGCAAGAATCAATAATAATGAAAACTTTAATGGGCTACATGACATACTGGTCCATTTTAGCACAGCAGGAAAAAAGATGCAGCCAGAGAAAAGGACAAAAGCAGATTAGAGCCATCTGTTCACAGCCTAGAATCTGGGCTGCTTCCAGAATTGATGAAATTTCCACCATCAATTCCCTGCCTGCTCACTATACCCTCAAAGGAAACCAAGAAATTTGTTGTACATCAGTTGACCTCATTCTGCAAGTCCATCTGCACATGTATGGTCTTATCCATATGAGCAGTTCCTTCAAACTGCATAGTAGGTTACTCGGTTGCATAAGCAACTAAAGGTATTCAACTTTTCTGTTCTCAAGATGGAGATGCCTCCACCACAGATAACATAAGAAAATTACAGAAAGTAAACAGATTCTTACATCAAAACAGAGCTACACTCACTTCCCTGGAATTGTACCTGACTGCAAGGTCACACAAGTATCTCACTACAAAAGCAGACTCAACCCTAAAGTTAAGTCAGTTCTTTGATCTAAGATCCACCAGATCTAACTGTAGTACAAAGACCTATATACACATTTATCTAGACATCAGGCTGTTAGTGACTCCCTCTTCCTTTTTTCCTCCCAGCTGCACAACATCTAGCTATGGACCAGAACCAAAAAAAGGTAACCACATTAAAAAAAAATCATAAAGACGACAATAACATCGTAACAACACAAACCCAGAAGATCTTTTTTTGTCAAGATTAAAAATGAGCTCCTTACCAAACATAACATCTACAAGTGGTTCAGACCCATCATGTCTCACATCAGCAGTCACTTCACAGTTTCTATTAGTGGCCTGGATTTTTTTATGGTTTATACATCCAAGAAATTTTCTGAAAATACAGTTGAAAATATATTAAGTATGTTGCAGATAGAAATTATATTAAGTATATTTCTAAAACTAATTTGAATATCCTGAAATTGCTGGGGAACAAAATTATAAACAAAATAGGATTTGTATTTAATGATTTCAGACAGGTACTTCTTATGAGATAATCACCTTAAAAAATCCAAATGCATAGTCCTTACACGCTAACATGTAAAAAGCATACCGAAGAATTTTGCAAAAATTCAGTGTATGCACTTTCTGCATTTCTCTCAGCTGGGTTAGTAACAATAATAAAAAAAAAATCAGCAAAGTAATTTTCGTTTTTCTTTATACACCAGTTGCTTGCCAATGTTTTATTGTTTGGGTTTGAGACAGCATTTATTTATTTAACACCATTGGTCTCCTGCAATTTCTGAAATGCATGACAGCTACTTGACATTCTGGCGGCTTAAAGACATTCTAAGTTAAGTTGTGTTACTAAGTTCATTTCAAAAGTAGATGTGTCTGTAAAGCTATTGCAAAATGACATTTTACAATTGTTTGGTGCAGAACTTAAATCACTCAAGAAGCATAATTACTTAGATTTCTCCAACAGCTAATTACCAAGATAGAGCAGCAGCTGTTGCCCCCTCTCCTCTCCCATTACCAGCATTTGGACTAGTGATTACAGACCCTCACCTACGGGCTCAGCAACTGAGAGGGGCATCTCCCTGGGCGGTTTGGTAAAGCTAAATGCACATGCCTACATGCAAGGGTCTATGCTTAGGCACAGAGAGCCTCCAAAAATCAGCACAGAATGAATGCTGTGTGCATCCTGGTAACACTTACCATAAACAGAGCCTTTACGACAAACACAGAGTCATCTCATTCTGAAACATTAAGGTTCTGCCTACACTAAGCTACAAAGCCCTGATAAGTGCAAACCTTCAAAGACCAAGATCATGAAAGATAAAGCACAGCGGATGCAGAAGTTTGGGAAAAGGAGAGGGAACAACAGATGCTGCCATCTCCCTCATGATTCGCTCCCAGAACGTCTTCTTACTTTTGCTGCCTACAGTGGCAGCAAGTCACAGGGCCCTACAGGGACAGCAGCTTTAACGGCTTCGTTTTGCATCTGCCGCTGCTGCGACCTGGGCAGCAGCCGGCTGGGGCGGCTGCTCCCCCTGCTCTTCAGGAACCCTCCACGTTTCCACGGGCGGAGGGCAGCAGGCCTGTGCCCCTAGCTATGCCTGGGCTCTGCGGCCGGGCCTGGGGCACAGGCCGCACTGCGGGCACATATAAATCCCAGCTTCTACCCCGCCCCCCGC